TTAACTCATTGATGGATGGATTACGTGCCATCAAGTTGGTGTGACCACGTAGACAGATTTTCTCCATGATGATCCATCCCTGACCTTCCCTTTCAGGTCTTATAATGGTGCGCTCATCATCTCTGTAATTGAATCCATCTCAACAGAAGGGAATATTTGTAGCTCATGGCTAAACTATGGGGTTCTTGGTGCTTTCTGAGCTTGGTTGTTTTCCAGCGGACATTTCATACCCAAGTTAGGTAATGAAACATCTGCAAGAGAGCAGATGTCCTCTTCTTCACTTTCCTTTCACCTTCTCCACAGAGCTTGGTCTTTGCATAGATGTCCAAGGTGCAGTAACTTGAGCCTAGTCATTTCTACATCAAGAAAGAACCTCTGATTTATGTGTTCAATGATCCATTCGTTTGCTTTCTTGGCTACAGTCTTTTGCACGTCTCCACAATCTATGGAGACAGTTGACTGAAGAGCTACCAACTGATAGTCTTGTCCAAAGCCAGAGGTCCTCATTTTCATGTATTTCATGATATTGCATTGCATTATGATTAGCAGTAGAGATAAAATTATTGCTCTTTGGCAAGGATCCAGAGAACATCTACTGAGCCATTCAATTATTAATAGAAACTGTAGCAGTCTTTATTGTTGAGTTCCTTCCTCCCTTAGTCCCATTAACCTAGAAGAGCCCTTCTCAATTTTGGCAAGATGCATGTGGAGTTGACATCCACACATCTTCAAGTTTCCAAAGTTCAGAAGCACTGACCTGCAGATATCTCCAAGCTTCTGTTGGTTTCACTGACACCATCAACTCCTTTCCTTGATTTGGGATTTTTTTTTCCTTCTCTGTCCCTTTATGCCTCACTTTTCATTTGTCTGTCTGTCCTCTTTGTCTGTCTACCCATCTGAGGTCATGTGACTGGGTGGAACACACCGTGGCCCAATCATTCATGCAGGGAAGTGCAACAAAGATGATTAGGGGACAGGAGGCTAAAAAAAAAACCATATAAAGAATGGTTCCTGGAATTGGGTATATCTAATTTAATGTAAAGAAGGACAAGGGGTGACATCAGGGGTGGGTTTTTACCGGTTCTGTCCACCTCTGTAGAACCAGTAGCTCTGAAGAGCAGCAGACATAGAACCGGTTCTATATCTGCTGATGTTTTTGCCCACCTGCCCACCCAGGCTTTTACCTGATCTTTATTTCCTGATTTTTCAACTTCAGCTGCTGAACGAGCCACAGCTGCAGTTAAAAAAACAAGAAAAGGGGGCTGTTTCAAAGGCTGCTTCTCCACAGGCAGCGTGCTAATGACCTGATAATGACAAGTTATGAGGTGACTCACAGCAGGCAGGGAAGCTCATAAATCCCAAACCGGTAGTTAACCCTTTCGTATCCCACTCCTGGGTGACATAATAGTTGCCAACTCATAAAATATTTATCTGGTCTTTTAGAGTTGCCAACAGAAAGGGAGGGGTGTAGCAGCTTGCAAAACCGAAACTGTATTCCATGGATATTTACATAGATAGTTTCCAGGCGATTGAAGTTCCTGCTGCGCAAAATTCTAACTGGAGAGCATGATTGATGACTCTTGACTATGGATGTGTCCCATTGGAGAATATGAATTATGATACACCCAGGGGGTGGGGGGAAACCAGGGTCAAGGGTGACAATGAATGATGTGTCTCAGAGTTGGCTACACCCATGTAGCACTGGCATGTCTACTCCTAATAAACCTTCTTTGAAAATCTGGCTAAAGACTCATGATTTAAATGGGGGTAACTACCAAAGCCCTGACAATAGTAGGGTTCCAATACCTCAGAGGTTACCACAAGGAAGAGGGAGTCAAGCTATTTTCCAAAGCACCTGAGGACAGGACAAGAAGCAATGGGTGGAAACTAATTGAGGAGAGGAGTAACCTAGAACTAAGGAGAAATTCCCTGACAGTTAGAACAATTAACTAATGGAACAATTTGCCTCCAGAAATTGTGAATGCTCCAACACTGGAGCATTTAAGCAGAGATTGGACAACCATTCATCTGAAATGATATAGGGTTTCCTGCCTGAGCAGGGGGTTGGACTAGAAGATCTCCAAGGTCCCTTCCAACTGTGTTATTCTAGCCTAGTCTAGTCTAGTCTAGTCTAGTCTAGTCTAGTCTATTGATATTTAAAGAACCAGGAGCTGTCAATCCTTGCTTTTTCTGACATTAAATATATAAACTTGCTACTGGCCAATGGACATTCTTTTAAGGATGGGGCTCAGCCTCTCCCTGTCTTATACCTCAACACCAGGGAAACTTGGGCGATGTTGCACAAGGAAATGAAAAGTTTGCGAAATTGGCTTGTTTTGTCATTCAAGATCTCAGAGTGCAATTGTAGAAGATGTGCCAATCTCTAAGCAGGGAAGTCTTGTTGGCAGGCCATCTGGTGAGATCACACCATGGTGCCTGGTGTTTAAAAAGTTTCCAAATCTTATGAAAACCATAAACACACCCACATGTTTTATAACTTGCTTTATCATCATACTGATGAATGCCATTGATATAATGCTGCTAGCTGCTGCTACTGAGCTGTTACCCCTAAAAGTTCCCACTAAAATGTCCTCCTGTTTTCTGAGATAATGTAAAGTGATCTCTTTTCCCCAAGTTTTCTCCATTTGTTGAAAAAAAAATGTAGCGTGTGAACCAACCTCTCTCAAATCTTTCATCAGTTTTCTTGCACAGAAAGAAGAGCTATAATTATGCTTTACTTGCATGAAAACTCAAGGTCAAAACTCCATGTTGAGACAGCGGCTACAGCAACAAAATTAACATGGATTTGGTAACATTTCTTTCTTTTTTGGCTAACTCCAATCCAGTTTTATCAGGGATTTTGATATTAATATTCACAATTAACCTTCACAAATGAGAAAATGGCTCTTTTTTTGAATGAATGAATGAATTCTTTATTGGCCAAGTGTGATTAGACACACAAGGAATTTGTCTTGGTGCATATGTTCTATGTGTACCTAAAAAGAAAAGATACATTCATCAAGAATCATAAGGTACAACATTTAATGATAGTCATAGGGTACAAATAAGCAATCAAATCACACTAGGAAACAGTCAATATAAATTGTAAGGATACAAGCAACAAGGTTCCAGTCATACAATCGTAAGTGGGAGGAGATGGGTGAAAGGAAGGATGGGAGGATTAATAGTTATAGTAATGTAGACTTAGTAAATAGTTGGACAGTGTTGAGGGAATTATTTGTTTAGCAGAGTGATGGCATTTGGGAAAAAACTGTCCTTGTGTCTATTTGTTCTGGTGTGCAGTGCTCTATAGCGTCGTTTTGAGGGTAGGAGTTGAAACAGTTTATGTCCATGATGTAAGGGGTCTGTAAATATTTTCACAGCCCTCTTTTTGACTCATGCAGTATACAGGTCCTCAATGGAAGGAAGGTTGGTAGTAGTTGTTTTTTCTGCAGTCCTAATTATCCTATGAAGTCTGGTTCAAAGGAGCATAACGGACTCTATTCGTTCATAAATAACAGCCTCCAAACACATGAGATAGGGGTTTGAAGGCTCTCCAGAATCTGCAGAAATGCAGAAAAAAGGAACATGTTCCTATTCTCTAAATTAGTCTGGTGAAGATCTAATATGACCTGTTTCATAAGACGTATAGAATCTACTCTACCCAGTCACAATTGTAGTGCAGAATCCTGACCAAGATTGACCCTCAGTCTGATAACAACAGGGCTGTATTTTCTATTCTTAAAGGTCTTTTCCGTTTACTCTTGGCAATGAAAAGAAACACATGACATCATGGCTTGGATTAAATAATAAGTCCAAGCATTAATTCAGTTTTCCTGGTTTTGATGTACACTGACATACGAGCCCAGGCTTTGACAAAAAGAAAATGAAATGAAATGTAATGTAATCAATCTTTATTATGGTCCTAGACCAGCATAAGGCATGGTGGAAGAATACATTAAAGAAGGCATGGGTATATAATATAAAAAAGTGTAGGGAAATATAAAGAATTATATAAAAGACACATAAAATAGATATGGCTGTATTTGAGATTATGTACGAATAATGTAAATTAAAAGATTGTATGCTGCTAAGTTATAAACTACTCTGTGGTGGCCAAACAAAATTAAATGTGATTTATGATTCAGCATTTATGTGTGAATCAGATTTTAAAAGCTGTTGTGGTGGTACAAACTCTCACCTCAAATTTGCTAGCGATTTTTTACTTATTTATCTTCAACCTGACTTTATTATTTCTATAAATGACTCAAGGCAACAAATGGTTGTAAGCTGAGCGTTATCTGTATTCACAAAACCTTTATGAGAAGGTGCTCTTATTAACGTTTTCTTATTATATTGCAGTTTCTAGAACTGTGTATTAAGGATATCTTTGCTCAAATGATGTTTTCAATCACCTGAAGAAAAAATTATTTGGATCATGCAAAACACCACAGTAGATTAAAAAGAGGCTGTTTATTTGTGGTTCTTTATATTTTAAGAACTCCATCACTGACTTAGCCAGGTCATTGCATTAAGATGTAATAAGAGTTTATTTATTTGATCAAACTGTGTTATGGAAATGCAGGACCAAGATTTTATTAATCTGGACTTAAGCGTTTAGCGTGCAGTTCTGTTTTTTTTTTTCTCAAGGGATGGTTGCAGGAAGAATTTCCTTAATCAGCTGGGATGAAATGGTTATAATTTGAGCAGTTTCTGCCACACGGAGATAATAAAAAAAAATATTGCTGTGTCAACTACAGTACAAGAAGTTTAATTGTTTACTTCAGAATAGTTTTTTTTAATGTCAAATGACTTGGCGGCAGTTCCTGTGTGGGAATTATATCTTGTAACTGTACTTATTGTTCTTACTTGTTCGAGTATGAAGTCAGCCATTGAGAAAAGATTGCATAGGTGTGCTTAATAAGTATCATGGATATATTCTTTTTGATTTAAATTAGTGTGTCCCTCTTTTCCCTCTCTCCCCACTCACATTTCCGCAGGTAATTTTCTTCTGTTGAGACATGAGATCTTCAGCTTCCAGATTGTCCAGCTTCTCCTCAAGGGATTCATTATGGAATCGGTAAGAAACAGTATTTTAAGCCCCAAATAACAGCTTTGGGAGATCTGCTGAAGTGTAACATTGCGTTGAAGGCTCCCAGGTGTTGTTAGGAGTCAGAAAAATTGTGGCCTTTTCAGAAATAGTTCTGTGATTTTGGAAAATCTGCCTCTTCCCTTGCTTTACTTTTGAAGATTTTAATATCCTCTTTTTAAAAAAATCATTTTAGTGTTTTTAAATGCTCAACTTGATGTTTAATCCTTGCTGCTGTCATTGTTAAAACAGTAGTCTTGTTTTCATCTTCTTTTTCTTTTTCTCCTTCTCCTTCTCCTTCTTCTTCTACTTCATCATCATCATTTAACGACCCCATAATCCCTTGTGGGTTGGAGTCTGGGCAACTGAATGGAGCTAGCAGAGTGTTTAATGGCCGGATGCCTTTTCTGTCACCAATGCGGAGTTTTGTTCAGCATATATATTCTCAGTGTGCCCAGAGAGAGAAATATCAGCCTCTACCTAGGATCGAACTCACAGCCTCCAAAACACTAGTCTTGTTTTGATTGAGATAATACAGAATAAGAACAATGGCCCATGCACAGAGAAAAGAAACACACACACTTATGCAGCCAATGTCAGAGAAAGATGGGGTGCAAATACAATTTAAAAAAGAGTGAGTTTTTCCTCATCTCTGTAAAAGTGGCTATTATGGCCAATAACCAGAGAAATAAAGGTTTTAAAATGTAACAAGGAGTGAGGTAGACATTCATGGCCCTTTTACATATAAAGGTAAAGGTTCCCCTCAAGCATATGTGCTAGTTGTTTCTGGCTCTATGGGGCAATGCTCACCTCTGTTACAAAGCTGAAGAGTCAGCGCTGCCCAAAGACGTCTCTGTGGTCAGGTGGCAGGCATGACTAAACGCCCGAAGGCGCATGGAACGCTGTTACCTTCCCACCAAAATATCCCTATTTTTCTACTTGCATTTTTAACGTGCTTTCAAACTGCTAGGTTGGCAGAAGCTGGGACAAGTAATGGGCGCTCACACCATTGCACGGTGCTAGGGATTCAAACTGGCGAACTGCCAACCTTTCTGATCGACAAGCTCAGTGTCTTAGCCACTGAGCCACCGTGCCCCTCCTTTTCCATATAGCTTGGTTTTTAAGCATCTGTTTAGCAACTGTTCAAAGTTACGACGGCACTGAAAGAAAGTGAGTTATGACCAGTTTTATGATTACTGCAGCCTCCCACTGAATTTAATTTTGATGTGATTAAAAATTCAGGTCCTTTGCACCCGGCGTGCATTTATAACAGTTGCAATGTCCCAGGGTCATGTAATCTCCATTTGCAACCTCCCCAGCTCACTTCCAACAAGCAAACTCAAGGGGGGAATCTGGATTCACTTAATGACCATGCAATTCACTTAATGACCACAAAGATTCGCTTAACAACTGCAGCAAAAAATAGAGGGTGTAAAATTGGGCACAACTTAATTGATGTCCTGCCCTGTTCTTTCTCCAGAATCTTACTGAAGGTTTTCCGTGTGTGAAATATGTAATGCTTCTATATGTAAGCTGCCCAGAATTGCCTCGAGGTAAGGTGGGCAGCCTATAAATTTTATAAAGAAATAAAAAAATGTAAATAAGGTAAGGAGGAAGAAACTGCAGGGGGGGAACAAAATTTGGGACACATCTGCTTTCAGTCATAATGAAAATCTGACACACCTTAGAGAGAATAGTAGAATAATAATGCTGATAATATTTTATGGCATTAATTGTACAAGTAGTCCTCAACTTATAATAGTTCATTTAGTGACTGTTCGAGGTTATAAAGGAACCAAAAAAGTGACTTATGACCAGAGGTGGTATTCAGCAGGTTCTGACCGGTTCTGGAGAACCTGTAGCGGAAATTTTGAGTAGTTCGGAGAACCGGCAAATCCCACTTCTGACTGGCCCCACCCCCATCTATTCTCTGCCGCCTGAGTCCCAGCTGATTGGCTGGGTCTTCTTTTGTTGCCCTGCACAGGAGAATGGAGCTGGAAAGCAGGTTAGTGGGGTGCAGAGTAGTGGTGGGATTCAAATTAATTTACTACCGGTTCTGTGGGCGTGGCTTGGTGGGCGTCACTTGGTGGGCATGGCAGGGAAGGATACTGCAAAATCCCCATTCCCTCCCCACCCTACTAACCTGCTTTCCAGCTCTGTTCTCCTGTGCAGGGCTGTTGAGGTAATTTCCCATTAGGAGAATGAGCACATACAGGGAGACGTATAGAGAATAGTGTTTGAATAAAACACACACAGCATACAGACACACTGTACAGTAAATCTAGGGTTTTACTTCCAGAAAGGTTTAAGCAAAGTCCAAATAGGCAGTCCAAAGTCATTCACAGGTAAAATCAGTCAGTTTTCATCCAGGGATAATCCAAATATCAAATTCCAGTGTCAAAAACAGTTCAGTAACAGACTTACATTAAATTACAGTAATATCAGTCAATTAGAAGAAATGGAGCAACGGCAATACTTTCCAACAGAAGGAAACAGAGATACACTCACACTCTCTTCTGAGACTCAGACTAAACAACCCAGGTTTCTGGCTCCATCTTATGGCCGTTGGAGAAACCACACCCAATTGCATGCTCTTGCATTCCCTTAAAGAGACAGTATTAAAATGTCTTTCCTGGTTTATATATTTCTAACCCAAATAGCTGATAGGTGACTCATATTCCTAACAAGGGCAACAAAAGAAAACCCAGCCAATCAGCTGGAACTCGGGAGGCAGAGAATAGATGGGGGCGGGGCAAGTCAGAGGTGGGATTTGCTGGTTCTCCGAACTACTCAAAATTTCCGCTACTGGTTCTGCAGAACTGGTCAGAACCTGCTGAATACCACCTCTGGTGGGGAGGGAATGGGGATTTTATAGTATCTTTCCCCTTCCAGGCTCACCAAGCCACGTCCACAGAACTGGTAGTAAAAAAATTTGAATCCCATCACTGCTTATGACCATTTTTCACACCTACGACTGTTGCAGCATCCCCGTGATCATGTGATCTAATTTTAGATGCTTAGCCACTGACTCGTATTTATGATGGTTGCAGGGTTCTGGGGTCACATGATCCCCTTTTGCAACCTTCTGACCAGCAAAGTCAATGGAGAAGCCAGATTCAGTTAACGACCATTCATTTAACAACTGTGGCACGAAAGGTTGCAAAATGGGGCAAAATTCACTTAACCAAATGTTTCACTTAGCAACAAAACTGGGGTGGGGGTTCAATTGTGGTTGTAAGCCAAGCTTTTCTGATGCTGGAGAAGTGTTGTGGTTCGCCAACAGCCTGTGCAGATGGTAGCAAAATCAGACAGTGGGGAACAACAGGGACCAGTCCAGGAGTCTGGAGAGGACTTGGACGAGGGTCCTGTGTCTGATGCAGAGATGGGGCCAGGACCATCTGAGAGTTATGTGTTGACTCCGGAGCCTCCAGAATATGGCAGCAGTGAGGCAGAGGAACAAGGGGAGCCTGTTCCCAGTGTGCATGTCCGCAGAGCTGCTAGAAGGCAAGAGCAGCTAAGACAAAAGAGGCGACTCGGGACTGAGGCTTGGAGGTGATTGCCCCTCCCATAAGATATAAAGGAAGTGCAAAGGGACAGGAACGTTTGCAGGAAGCAACGTTGTTCGCTCTAATCGGATTAAACCTTGAAGCTCTGTGTGGACTTTGTACTTTGGTTGTTTTTTTTTTAGTTAATTTGGCACTTTAGTTGTTGGCAGCAATTCAAAGGAGATAAAGGTGAGTGCTTATTTCGAGAGACTGTTTGGGACTCATTACTGGCTGGGAATGAACATAATTCCCAGTGTTAAAATAAAAAGAGAGATGTTTGGACTAACCATGTGATTAATTACAGTCCCAGGAAGCCTTGGTCAGAACAAGAAGTTGATAGGGTATTTTATCTTGACAGTATTTTTCCCATCTCTATAAATTCTGCTTGTATAGCCACTACCGATAGCAGTGCTTAATTTTATGCAGAGTAGTTTGGATGATCAAAGCACTCAATCGAATTAGTGTTGTGGCAACTTCCTTTGATAAGCTGATAATATTATCCCAAGGTGACAGCAAGTGAAATCAAGCTAGATTAAAGCTTCAAAGGTAACCTCTCCTTTATTGGGAATTGTAAAAGTTGGAAGCCAAACAGCTGGTGGACTTCAAGTTTAATAAGTGGGAGATGCTTGTTTTCCTAAGACCATTTAATTTTCAGGCTGATGGCCAAATCCCAGAGCCAGTGCAACAGTACTACAAAAAAAAACATATTTCAAGTATTATAAAGTCCATCCTACAAGGCCCTCAGTCAGCACCAATGAACTGAGTTGCCAATATGGTACAATCCCTGCATAGCTTGTCACTATGTAGGACGGGGGTGGGGGGAGAAAGGTCCGATGAGGACATCTGAACTCATTGGTAGTCTCACTTTGCAATGAACAAGGACATACTGTCATGCCCCTGTCAGAATCTGATTTGGAGGGGGAGGCCGAGCAGCTGACAGGAAGTGGAGTGTGGCTCCATTGGCTGTGGAAGAAACTGGGGAAAGGCAAAGTCCGGCTGGGCAGAGCAAGGGAGAGGTAGAGCAAGGCAGAGGGAATTCAGAGGAAGAACCAGGCCCACCCCCTCTTCATCCTAGGGCATGCAGGGAAGAATGAAGAAGGGAGCAATGTGAGTTGCATGACTTCCAGGGGAGAAAAGGGCCCTGGTCCCCTTCATCAGCTGCAGCTGGGAACAGTGTTTAAAAGGGGAAGTTGTGCACAGCAAGTTGTTGGCAGAAAATCGTGAATTATCCGGTATCATCGAGGCTTATCTGGGTTCCTGGTGTCTTCCCAACTGTGTGTGTTTGGCTGTGCTTTCAAGTCTGCAATTCCTTCTCTTGCCCTGTCAAGTTAGTTATTGCAGCATGGTTTGTTTGGATTTTTAGTTACAGTTTGTATGTACTTTGTTTTCGGACTGAATTTTCTCCACTTAAAGGCTGTTCCTGAGAGAGTTTTTCTCCAGATGAAG